GATGTTGTCAAGGTTTTCTAATGTCCAACCATTGAAAATTGTCTACATTTATTGTGAGAGAGTCTAAAAATAGATCTGTAGTGTTGCATGAGATATTTTATTACCTACTGGCATATTGCCACCAGAGTGTATATGATAAAGTGGAAGGAAATTGTGTCGTAAAAATATTTACGACTTGAATGTAATTTTGCAGTAGTGGCAAGCAGATAATTAAGTAGGGACAGCTTCACTTCACATATTACCTTTGTTGAAAACCGTGTAGAACTTTGTGGACAAACGTTTTTTTTAGTAGCATTTCAACAACATCATTTCCTATTTTCTTGAACCGTTGCTTCAACTTAAAAGTAGCTGCATGGTCATAAAATACACCACTGCTGATGAGCCAGGCCTATACAGAACAATTGGTGGTTGATTGCACATGGCTTGAACCAAGGCCACTCAGATGATGTTGTGCCAGCGTTGTGTCTGCCTCATTCAAAACCTAGGACACTGTTAGTAGTCTGCTTTAGAGCCCTGTTTCTCTCTTGTAGTGGTTTACAGGTGGGACATAATCTCAATTTATTGGAAACTGCACTAAGCTTTGAGGCAGAAAAGACCCATCCTACAGACAAGGAGCTCAGGTCAAGTCGTGTTGTCACAAAAGTAAAGAAAAGTACTTCACCCACCATTCTTGATTCACTTTTTGCTCCAACCTGACCAGAAGTCTTCTGTTTGGAAAACTTTTGTTGCTATTAGAAATATCAGTTTCTTCAAAACTAATCAGATTACATTTACTTTGTTCCCACGAAAAACAGACACGGAGCCAAGCCTTACACTGCAGATGTGAACAACATCACTGTGATTTCTGCCGGGAGTGCTGGCCGTAATCCAGAGATCCTCAGGTTGATCTTAGAGAAGGGCCAGGTTGAACCGGAGTACCTGGACATTGCTGATGTTGACGGCTCCACACCATTGATGATTGCTTGCAGGAAAGGGAGCACTCAGGTTGTGGAAATGCTGATCGACTGTGGGGTGAGTTGAATCTTGAAGTTGTTCTTGAAATGGTCAAGGGCAAAGTAAATTGACTGCTAAAAACTTAGTGATTCCTCATCAAAAAAATGTTTCCACATTTTGCAATGTTCACATGCATTAGAAAGTCACAAAGATGAGTTTTAAGGAATTTCACAATAAATTCTATTGCGAAATTCCTTAAAACCCATAAAAACTAAGACAGCCCTTCCTTTGTAATATTGTGTGCACAAATGGCAAGACAACTTTACATGAATGTAACATTTCATGCCGAGGTTTTGAAAAGAAGGCATCTTGGCACTTTGATCACATCTCAGGCAGCCGAGTTTGTGTATACTTCCATTGCTCTCAATACAGTCTAATGTGTTGACCATACGTTGCCCCATTAAAAAATTTGGAATGTACGCAACATACACGTATGTATGTACAAGTCCCAGTTGGTTTACTGTCAGTCACCGGTGGCGGAAGTAAGGTGGGGGGGAGCCGTTGCACATCCAGTTGCCCCCTCAGAAATGTCACTCCAGTTAAGCTTCTGTTTAATTCTTTGAAAATTTGAATGGTTTGTGAAAGTTTACACCAGTCTTTATCTGAATTGAATTAATTCTCAACCTGAGCATTCCTCACTCCTTAACCCTAACCCTCCACAATCCTCCAACAGGTGAAGGATTGAGGAGGGTTAGGGTTAATTCCAAACAACACTGATGTGAATTGGGTTTGGTCTTTTGAGGTCACTGGTTGTGTTTTTCCTGCAAGTGACCGCTAAAACTATGGTTGGCCATTGGTACAAAAGTAGAAGAGTAATACACAAAGTGTTCAAAATCCCACGCAGCTATCAGAACTCCAGGCAATAATACACGGACTGCTAAATGAAACCATAACCCTATTTCAAATCAATGGGAAAAATGACCTTGTGGAATGAATTGGAAGTAAAATAGAAAAACAGCCAAAAGGTGATATTTCTGCAAACTTTGGCCGCCCGCACAAGTTATGGGCAAGATGAGAGTGGTCCATAGGTTTCTCCAAACGGCAATTGTGCCCATTCCATTTAATCATTACATGACTCTGCATGCTCAGATTGTTTTTTTGTTTTTCATTTACATCTATTGCTTCTGGTGTGCAACTAGGCCAGCCTGGATGTGACTGACAAGTCCGGCAAGACGGCTGTGCACCATGCCATTGAGCACCGGCACAATGACTGCGTGAGGACACTCATAGAAACGGACCCTTCCCTCGCTGCCCTCACTGACACCGAGGGAAGGAATGCCTTGCATCTGGCGACCATAGAGGGTGACATGGAGCTCATTCAATTGGTGTTGCCTCACGTGGATGTGAATGCACTGGATAAAGAGAAGCATTCTGCTCTACATTGGGCCACAGGTGAGATGATACATATCCAAACAGGACTTTCACAGAACAAAACAAATGAAAATTTTGAGAACTTATAAAACAAGTCAGCTAGGTTTGCAGGATATGACATGCTTACTATAGGTTCTGTCATGCTAGTCACTGTAATTCAGAAATTTTCTTAACTTGTAATCAATACTGTCAGATTGATTTCAACCTTGTCAACTGGAGATCATTTACCCAGGGGACTGACTTTTAGGAACTCCACAAGATTGGATGACAGTGCGCACAATAAGTGTTATATTGATTGATTGTTGACTTTGTATTAAGTACCTTTGGGTAAAGTCAGTGTAATCACAGGTGCAGTTGAGTTGTGCTCTCAGTGTCAGTGTCTCAACTAGGAGAAATCAATAAATGGACAGTTTTCATGAAAAACTTGTTCTCTCTTTGTACACGGCAAAGTTAATGATTCTGTGGGCATTTGGGAGGAGTGTGTTTGTTTATTCTATGATTAAGTGCAGGCCTCTTGTAATTGTTACCTTAAGCTCCATTTTCTCTGATCTGAATGGCTAAGAATCTTTAGACTTTGGGGACATTGTTTTTAATTATGGAAATTTCCAAATGACATATTACATGAGTCTGATAAGTTGGCAGTGATTTGTAACAAACTTCCCCTTGATAAATACGTGTACATATAATATGAAATGACCTATATTTTCCCTTGCTCATCAAAAGAGGGAGTGTTTCCAGCATTGAACGTTCAGAGAATGTTGGCTTCAGTGGTGCTGGTAATGCGTCCTGTTGGATTTGGCCTGTTCACTTTTTTATACAGTGTGCGGTCTATACAATGTCATTGCGCTGCTCATCGAGAGCGGCTGCAACCCGGCCACGCCAGACGCCCACGGTGCCTATCCCATCCACTACGCCACCCAGATGTGCAGCGGTGATCCATCCACGGCTGCCACAGGGCTACGCTGTCTCCAGGCCCTGCTCCGCAAGGGAGGCAGCTCGGTGAACTGCACCGATACCGGCGGCAAGACACCACTCTTGTGGGCGGCTAGCTCGGGCAACGTCCGTGCCTGCAGGCTGTTGGTGGATCTCAGGGCAGACAAGACCATGGCAGACGACAACGGCTTAACTGGTTTGTACTTTGGAGTTCATTGTGGGTGTCAGATCACAGCAACTTTAAATGTTGTTTCTGTGCAGATGATCTTATTCAAGAAATGGTCATTTAGATTTATTTTATTCTGTTTTTAATCTATTTTCGTGATTATTGCTCATCACTGGGAATTTGCCTAATAATGATCACTGTAATTTTTTCGTGAGTCGAAAGATTATTACTGTTTGTAGTCTATAAACTGGAATTACTCACCACATTTCCATCAACTTTCCTTAAGTTTCCTCAATTGTATTATTTTCATTCCAGATCACCAACACCTTAACGAGGCAGATTGCTTTGTCTTTCTTTATCATGTGTTTGTAAATTTGCACATGCCTTTGATATGTGATCTCTTCAATTTTTGTTCATACGAAATCAGTTGAAAAATATTGATAGAATTGTGACAACCAATTTAGGCGTGCATGCACATCAGGTGTGAAGTTCTAAATCAGGTTTGCAAATTGTGCAAACTCAATCTTTATAAAACCAATATTGCTTTGTACAAAGTAAGGGTGGGAATTTACGTTCAATTTGAAAAAGTTTAGAAAACTTTCCCTTAGCATTTTAAATGTGTAAATGACCCATCCTCACCAAGCTGTCATTGAATACTTTACATACAACAAATTGTATACAATGTGAATAGTTGACACAAAGTTCTGATGATGAATTCATGGTATTCCTTTGATATGACCAGCAGTAAAGTGTTCTGAAAATCAGATTACATTTTACAGACATCGTTTTCAATAAAAATGAATGCCAGATTGCGTCAATTAAAATGTCAAACCTCTAAAAAGGGTGGCTGCCATGAACGTTTGGGAAAATCTGTAAACGGATTTGGAACTTTTTTGTTTAAACATGTAAACGTCCCACCCTAAGTACAAAGAAATGCTCAAAATGTGCTTGTGCAAGATGAAAAGAAGGGCGCCAAGACTCAGTCGTTTGAAAGTGACATATATCTCAAGATATCTCAACAAAAAATGGCAGCGTGGATTTTTATTCAGTGAGAGAATGAGGAATATTGAATGGGATTCTGGAGAGGATTGAAAAAAATGAAAGAAAAGCAAATAACATAATCAGCCAGTGTTTTGGTAACAAATGAGCTGGGCTGTTTCTGTATGGTTTGGAAATTTGCTTAAATCAACTCTTTTCCAATAGAGGAACTGACAGCTGTGTGCTTTTCATTCTGAAATTTTAATTGGTTGCAACAACTCTGTAAACTTTATACCGTGTTTTTCTTTTTCTGGAGGAAATTTGCAGTTGGGTCTAGATATTGATTTCTGATCTTTTCCCTATGACAAATTTCATTTTAAAAGACACTCTCTAAGTTTCTCTTTTATTGCACAGAAGTAATATTTCCGTAATATTTCCGTGAGCCGTCAGGAGAAGAGAACAAAAACTAAGGTCCAAAATTACTCACATATAGTAACCATTGTAATTTCAAATTCTTGATTTTTAGACAATCAAATGATGCACTTGAAGGCAACCCCCCCCCCAAAAAAAACTTTTAGGAACCATTTGTTTTAATCTTTGTAATCCCCTAATTTGAGTTACCTCTTGTGATTTCATCATAATTAGTTAGACGGAATTAGAACAGTTGGAAGTGTAAACTGCACAGTAGGATTTAGTTTGTGTTAATCATTCATTATTGCGGTGGTTTCTGTAGTATTAATTTGCTACATACAAATACCTGAGAACTTTAGGTTTGAACGTGAAGCCTTATACATGAATATGTTACAGAGCAGGGTAGTTGATCAACCTTAACCACTCTCCTTATCCCTAAATCTATCTTCGCTGCTTGTAATACCTAGTCCCCCATCTTCATCTCTTCGTCAGCGCTCCACTGCGCAACTTGTCGCAACCACCCAATCTGCCTGGAATCCCTCCTGAGGGACTGCAGGTGTGATCCTAACCCAGTCGACAAGCAGGGCTGCACGCCACTGTTCTATGCCATCACGATGGAGCACGTCGAGTGTGCCAGGACACTGCTGAAATATGGAGCTTCGCCAAACTGGCAAGATCAGTGCGGGAAAAGGTGATTCCCTGATGATGTGGACAACTTTTCTTCCCCCAATTTTTTTTCTTTGGTGATGTAATTTCATAAGCACTCGGCGTTGTCCAAGAGTTCTTGAAGAAATTCACTAGCTCAAAAAGTAAAACATGAACCTTCAAAATTATATTGGTGTAGAGTAAAACGTACCATCGTAATGTGCATTTCCCTGGCACAAAACTCCATCATTTCTTTGAAAATAATACGCAGTCCACAAGCATATTTCACAACTTCAAAAACCTTTTAGCTTGGATCCATGCCAAATAAAAGTATTAACAATTTAAGTGCAGGATAGCACCTTATTGCAAATTACAACGCTATCTTTGCCTCCCCCCTTCTGAGATGCTGCCATTGGTACTATGCATTATGTAAGGGATCTTTTTGAAAAAGAACCTCACAGACTCTTGGCAAATATTCTTGAATATCTGGCTGTTGCTGGGGGCCATTTATGAACTCTGTGTCTGTATTTGTCCATTCGTAGCCAAGTAAAACCCTACAATAGCCAGTTCATGAAACCTTACTGCATCATTGTAACTCCAGTTGTTCCACATTTTATAGGATTTTATTGGAAAATAGGATTTTCTTTTTAGTAATCCTGTGTATTACTTCTTTCCTTAGCCCTGCATTCTGTGCTGCAGCCAGAGGCTCTCTGCCCTTGCTGAAGCTTCTCCATGATTACAGGGCTTCACTAAGTCTCCGCACCACGTCCAAAGACACTCCGCTCACCCACTCAGCTGATGCTGGGCACATAGGTAGCTTTCCCCTAAATTGTCACTGCCTTTAGAGCATAAGCCCAGCATTAAGGGGAAGACTTACAGAATTCTGCAGGTTAAAAAAATTATCGCAGCAGTTTCCTATGAGATTGTTTATACTGGGAGCTGACAAACCATGTGATGGGCCATAAACTGTGGAGTTCAGAAACCTGAGTGATTTTTCAATTCTGCTCTGAGACTGTGCCGACCGGTCAACCAGCAATCTCATTGGGTATGACATAACAGACTGACTTGTGTTCCTTTGCTTCTTCCTGTGGGATATCATTGTTATTATGGAAAGTCAATGATGTTATTCCTTTGCATGCCAAACAGATTTGCGTCTTGTGGTTCAAATGTACAATATCGTGTACCAATGGGTGTTTTTTGTCTTTTTCTTGTACCAACATCAAAAATTTGTTTGCCTCACAGAGAGCATGTCCTTTCTGTTGGAGCATGGCTGCAGTGTAGAAACAAGGGATGGAGCCAGACGTACATCATTACACCTTGCCGCCTTAAAAAACAATTTGCTGCTGTGCAAACTTCTGGTCCATCACAAGGCAAACACCAATGCAGTTTTTAAAGAAAAGCAGGTGAAATATGTTCATGCACTAAACTTAAAGTCATTCCCATTCAAAATGGACTAGAGTGATTGGATCTTGTCCACATCCATTTGAAAACATCTCCAAACAAAAGTTCAGATTAAGTTTTGAAAACTCAGATGTGGTAACATATTCTCTGAAAGTGTGGCAACTACTTACAAAACCAGCCACAGGAGAACTCAGCCCTGCCAACAGCGCATTCTGGTTCAGTAGTTTTAGGGACCATACACATTGCGTACAATAGCTGTTGGAAGGACCAAAAAGGTTGTGAGGACACAAGAAAGTCCCAACGACTCGGTTCTGATTTTCTTAACAACTGAAATCCGCAATGAAACGCTTCAAATAACAATTTATAGAAATCTTCCCCACAACTGTGGTCTCAGCCAGGGTGCTGAGAGTGTCTCAATGTAAACATTGCTAGATGCTGTTTACTCTTATTTGCTGCATAGTGAACGGCTGGCAACACCCAACTTGGGTAAAAAAAAATTCATTGTCCTAAAATTGCCACATCCTGTGTGGAAAAAAATTATTATTAAAAAAATGATAGAATTTAACCACACTGTTAAGGTACAAACTAGTTTGAAGACTTCAGAGTTGAGTCTTCCTGAATGTGAGCAGTCATTTTGGTTGCCTACTGTTAAAGTCTTTTCTCTTAAGTTAATTCCCATTTCCTTTCTAATTAATGTTGGAGTACTATGTAAATTAGAGTTTTCAATTCAGTTGCTTCTGATCAAAAAGCAAATTTCCATAAACTCGTCTTTTCAAGCGATCAAAAGAAATCCCCATTCATCGCAAGAAAGTGATGTACCCCATGTACTATTCAGACAACTTATATGGGTCTAACTCGGTTGAATAAAAGTTGCAAAACAATACACTACAGTCTATCTAGTGTTGAAATACATATTTTGTTTACTGTATTTCATAAGGCTAATAACATATTTCTCCAGCCCTGTACATGCAGGTTGGTTATAAGTAACCACATAATCTAGGGATATTCTCATTGTCCAGAAACCAATCACACCCTTGGACTGTGCAGAGGAAAAATCCAGCACGGAGTGCATGGATTACCTCCTCTCCCTGGGGGCCAAGCATGGTGCTGACATCCCAGAGGAGTTATGGCAAATGGAAGAGGAAGAAGCCGGGGACCAAGACCCGAGGAGGGATGACAGAGATGAGAGTCGCAAGGAGATGGATAAAAAGCCAGATGGAACGGATGACGAAAGAGGATGGGGCACCTCAGCAGGAGAGAAACAGGGAGGGAAGCAACCCAAGTCCCAAGAACAAAACTCAGAGGCAATACACACATCAGAACAGTCTACGCATGACCCCACCGAAGGCCAACAACCCTCCCAGGAGTCTACATCGGATGTCGACATCATGACTGACAGTGCCTTGCTTAATCCCATCACTGACAACACGGACAAGGAGGCACTGGAGAGACTATCTCGCAATAGTGACGGCAGAGTGGACACTGAAGAACTTAAGAAGAAACTGTTTAACTGGAATGCTTACTTACAAGGTTTGTCCAGACTTTGTCAGGACTGTTGTAATATTGTAAACATGTTTTGCCCTGCTTTGACTGAAACAATGAAAACTTTGAATTAAACCTTTACTTTGGAAGCAAGAATGGTTTGGATGTAAAGAAACCTCAACAAGAAGTTGCTTTATGCAGATTTATTTATCAAAATAATTGGACAGTTGATTGATCTTTCACTTAATTAATTTCATTGACTGATCACAGCAATTAGTTAATCAATTCATTGATTAGTAAATACAGCCGCATCTTGTTTACTAAATATTTGTGTCAGTATTTTTGTTAAGTCAAATGATGCATCAGTGAATGAGCTGAGCCCGTCCTGTTTTCCTGTCAGACAATGTGGAATTTTTGGACGTAGTCATCAACTCCAAAGCCCCTGAGCTGTCCGAGGCCAGAAGGCAGGCCAGAAATCAGAAGAAGGAACTTGTCAGTCGTCTGGAAGAGCTCAAGGCAGAGTTTGAGAGGAGCAGTCGACTCCTGGTCAAAGACGTGGAGAGAAAGGAAGAGAATAGGAAAGAGAGATCCCTGACTGATGGGTCCATGATCAGGAGTTTGCATGACATTGAGGAAAGGTTTCAGGTACAGAAATCCCCCAATTCTTCATAAATTCTTCTTAGAATCAAATCCAATCTTTACAGGTATTTTCAGAAAAGCATAGTTAGGCTTTTTCTAGCCCCTTTGTTGTAGCTGACCAATTAGATGGAGCTGTTGCTCCAGTTAAAATCAAGAGAACACCTGCCTCATTGTGATAGTTCAGTTCTTCAAAGGTTTGGCAAGTCCTTTACAGGTCATCTAGTGCCGAAAAAACATGCTATTCCAATGACCTAGTGCAAAGAAATTCCAATCGTTTGTTGTTCATCTTTTCACTTGTTCATCTTTTCACTGGACCTGTAGTGTACTGAACTGCAAAATTGTCCTCTTTATTTGTTCAATTCCTCTGGTCCTATAAATGTACAATTGACTGTTGCTAACAGTTATTGTTGTTTTTATGTATTTTCCAAACCCAAAGCATTTTCTTGTTTCATACCTACTCAGTTACCAATTTTTCTTTATGTTTTTTGCATGTTCATTTTTATTTTTACCTATTCTTCACTTTGAAGTTTTCCCAAAGACAGAAAAAGAACTATTTTTTATTCAACACTTCAGCTTCACTTTTTTCTATATGTGTGTGCATAATTATACTGATTACTCTCGTATTTAAATTATACTTGCCAATGTAAGGGCAACCTCGAATTCAAGAGAGGGCAGTATTTTGTTACCTACAGTACTTACAATCCTGAATAGAGTGCTGAATTAAAACATTTCACTGAACCAACTTGGATAAAAATCAACTTCTCTGTCAAGTACATGTTCATGTATGAATTCTCTGCCATGCAGAGAGCCAACGCGTCCGCTGCCGCCAGCCTTGATGAGTTCCTCCAGTCTCAGTCTAAGTCACCAAGGAGACAAGACAGCTGGGATCAGCATGGCGACAAGAGTTATGAGGAAGTGCCATCAGAAGATGGTACTGGGAAAGAGAGGTCAGGATTAACTTGGAGCATTCAAGCTGACACCCACTCGGCATTGTAGCGCCCTCTATGTGCTGCAGCATGCATCCTTACTCTTTACTTTATGAGCCAACATTTGCCCAGGATATGACACGGTTGCCGTGTCCTGAATTTTAATAGAGAATTGGTTCTTCCCCCCTACCGCCCCCAAGAAAGAAATTATAATTTTTCTACAATTTCCATTGTTTTCTGTATCCAGCTGATACCTCAAAATATTGCTTTCATATATAACATAGAATCTTGCACTCTATAAACCTTGCGAAAATGACGAATGAAAAGATCCCTAAAATATTAAGCACCTGATGCATTAAGAACGTGGAACTAATGGAGTTGCGTTCACGCGTACAGTTTTTGCAAAATTGTCTGAGCCAGTATTTTCAGCGGCACTCATGCATCTTCCCTTGGCAGGTATGATTCCAGGAAGCTGAGGCACCAGGCATGGCTGCACAAAAAGAACCAAGACTACATCAATAAGAAGAAATCTCTTCAAGCTGCTACCGTCATCACATTGGCACCAAGCTACACCACCGGTATGGCTCAGTTTTCACATGACACTACATTGATTACTGCTCAAATTGATCATTTACAGCCGTTTTCTATTGAACAAAAATCTGCACAAACACAGTGAAGGTTTGCTAAGCATTACCCACGAGTTAGCTTCAATTCAGCTTTTAATTAACTCTTTTGAAAAAAAGTAAGGAAAACAAACCCAGAGTAATAGCTTGGATAAAAAAAACAACAATTTCAATACCTTTTGATTTTATGTGCAAACTTGGAGCTGGAGTCAGCTTAAATTTTGAAATTTTTCTCTTTGAATGAAAAAGTTTGAAATCAAACATTGGAATGACATAAGTGAAGTAGTCTTTATTTTCTTATCAGGCAGCAATCACGACAGAGGTGGGACTGTTGTGATTCCAACAAGACGCAGCCACTCTATCCCAGATCATCGCACCGTCAAGTCGCCGTACAATGCCAAAGTCATTCTGCCCCTCAGGTAGGCATGACACACTATCAGACGGTGCTTTCAGGTGGAAAATGTGGTCTGCACTCTGTAGTGTTGTAATCCAGCGACCACGTGAGGCCAAGCTTGCACATTGGTCTCTGACCAGTGGACCAATTTAGCAACTAGCAGTCAAAGCCATTAGTGCAGTGGAATGCTTGCATCACATGCCTCTTCAACCAGTGAGGTTTCCTGATCAGCGGCAGCAGAACAATTTTCAAAAGGGGGGGGCGGGCAGTTGTGAGACCATCATGCATCAGCCATTAATATGCCAATCCATTTATTTCTCTCCCATTACACTGCTTTGAAAAGCTCAGCACCAAATGTTGTGCAATTTGGATGTTCCTCTGTTGTTTTTCCCTGTGAATTCCTGGTTTGCTGGCTGTTTTCTTCAGATTGCAGGAGCCCAGGCGACGGCGAAGCAACGAGAGCCAGCTGAGCGGGCACGAACAAGCTGAGATCCGGCGCAGGATGGGAGAGCTGAACAATGCCCTGCTGTATCCCAGGGCGAGTCAGATGCGTCCGAGACAGAGCGAAGATGCCTACAATGCAAAAGGTGAGGCCATCCACTGTAACGTCCTTTGACCACTCCCCCCCCCCGACAGTGATATTGAAGTTTGGCTCAGTGCAAAGGCCTTTTCATGAAACCTTAGTGACCATGTCATTCCCCTGGCCTTTGAGAGATGTCGCTTCACTCAGTTTGCCACAAGATCATGACTATCATTCAGTCACATCCAAAATTTTTAAGGGACCTTTTCCTTCTGCACAAGCAGTTAGACAAGCCCCCTTTTTTCCCCTGCACATTGAACGTGGCCCCATTGCCAGCTTTGGTCATGGTGGGCACACTACCAGCTAGGGGGACATATCTCAAGAACAATAGATGGTTTTGATGATTATTGCATTTGCCAGTGCGGGCCAGTTGCTCAAAGGGGGGGGCACTGTCTCTCTCTCAGGCTTCTGCATACTTGACTGAAACCTTAGCCACATTATCTCCGATTCCACTATACGGTTCAAATGATTTTGAAAACTATTTTCACCATATCCAACAATTAATAATATGGGTATATTTGTATTTCTGTACCATGCCTCACTGTGCGTCAGGATCAGGAGCCAGGAGATAACATTGAGCGGTAATTCAAATGTGTCGTTTGCTTAAGTGTAGGAGATAAGACAGCAGTTTCGTTCCTTTCATCACTAAGAGCAAGAACTTGTTGGAGCTTTAGCCCATGTTGGACGTTGCCCTTCAACAAGGTCTTTTGATGCCTGGGGCATTGCCAGGAGTTTTCTGGGGGAGAGGGTTAAATCACTTTAAAGTCTATTTTTGAGATGTTATGGTGGTTCTGATGGTCAGAAACCTTTAATAGATGGAGTGTTAATCTCCAGAGTTAGTATGTGATAGATGTTGCAGAGTTGATGTGCAACAGTGCCATTGCTTGAGATTTTTTTTTTTCGGTTACACTAACAAAAGAGCCACCAAGTCACAGCAAGCTACACCCAACAAATTCATACTGTCAGTGGCATTAACATTACATCATGTTAATATTCTTTGTTCAGAATCCAGCAGTCCAAGGTGGGACGGGGGTGAGAGACCTCGATGTCCTCTACGCTTTATGGAACCAGCAGAGTTCAAAAAACAGGTTCTCAGCCAGAAGTGATTAGGAGCATCAGCCAGATCATCTGCTAGAAAGCCACAGGCCATATTTTTGTAAAGAGCACAGAGTAAAGCATCATTACTTCCTCGGTTAGGGGGACAAAATTGGAGGCATATAAGTGGATTCGGGTGACACCTGCCAATAGGGAGGACACATAACTGACGCCTAGTTTTACATGTCTCCCTCATGGAGTTTTTAAATAAAAGGCAAAATGAGTGACACAAAATGGCAACACTACTGCTGTCCTATTCCAGCAAGTGATTGCACTATCACTTCATAGAAATCAATATTGTTATCTTTACTGGTATGATCCCTACACTATTTGTTTAGTTTTGGGCAACAACATTGATGCTGTTTTGGGCTGGGCAACAGGCTTGATTAGGGTGACACGTAACTCTTAACCTTTTCAAAATGTTGCCTCATTGGAACTTTAGTATGAGGAAACAAGGCATGCTTTAATGGGATGACATAACTGTCACACTATTCTGCTGTTCCGTAGCAGTGTTGCAATATTGCGGAATCCAGAGAAAATATTGAACAAACGGAGGGGAGTGCAAAACCATTTTTGTCTTTCAAACCCACTGAGCTGTGTACCTACTTCATCTTTGGGAGAAACTATGTGATCCGCAAATCCACACGGCCCTATCTGTAGATGTCTTTTTATATCTCCTTGTGAGAAGTCACCAGTAATGCACAAGAAGCCTAAAGAGGGAACTTTTTTCATTGCAGACCCCAGATTAATGTTTGGAACCTTTCAAATTCTGCCAAGAAAATAGCTCTTGAGTTTCAGATGAATTTAAAAAACCCTTTAAAACCAATAGGCCACTCTCATGTTGCCTATAACTTGTGTAGGCGGCCAGAGTTTGCAGAAATATTACCTTTTGGTTGGATTTCGATTTTACCTCCATTCGCTCAAAATGGTAATTTTCCCATGCACATCTATTTTCTGGTGTTCCAAGAGCCGAGCGGGATTTATAACACTTCGTGAATTATTCTTCTGTACTGACGGCCAACCATAGTTCCAGCAACCACTTGTAGGAAAAGCACGGCCGTGACATCAAACGTGCAGATCCTATTGCTTGATTCTGTTAGATGATTTTGGAAGTTTCTGGGGATTCTCCCAGTACATTTGGAAAATCTCTGTTCAACACTTTTAAAACAAAGTCCGGAAGAACTTTCTTCACATTGTGCTGCTTTTATTTTTCATATCACTCGCCGCAAACATAAAAAGAAATGTGGAAAGTTATTTAAATATGTACATTAACTCATACAGCTCTCTGTACTAACATATTTTTTCTTGAAGTAAAAAAAAATGTAATTTATTAAACTTTACAATAGTTCAATTCAGCAAGACAGGGATGAAATTAATTGCTTTATACACTTATTTGATACACATTCCTCTATTAAATTATTCATCATTGGAATTAACTAATCCCTTAGATATAAATAAGTCATATTTACAAACGTGCAAAAACAAGCTGCCATGTAACATTCGTGAGCATTCTACAAACAATCCAGGTTCTTGCATCCAGCATGGATAAAGTCCTACAGTTAGTAAAATGTTCAGTTTCCAACCTAACATGCCACTCGCAGTATTTCCAAGGAGAACTGATGACTTGGATGTGAACCCTCTAGCAAGCATACAAATAGGGCCTGTGCACAAAAGATTGGGGGCGCTACACGGCCCACCCACAACATTCTGGGGCTGGCAGTTAACAAAAATGGCACTGGAATCACGGCCTTGGTTCAATCCCCTCCTTCCTCCATGGTTCAACCCCCCAAAAAGCTGTGACAAATGTATGTACATATATGGGCCAGGTGGCAATGCCAAAGGTCATTGGCTCTTATCTTATATATGTAAGCAATTATGCAGTTTTAGGTACCACAGTTTGGGGTAAGTTTGTGGTGTTGGAGAAGAGGGAATGATGTTTACGTCCATGCTCTACTTGTGGAATTTGGCAGTATCCCATTATGCTTTCATTCAACCATCGAGGAAGGACATGGAAGGAGTTGCGACTCCGGCACTTCAAAGTGTTCAATGTCAGAGGAATAATAGAAAACATTCCCAAAATGCGTGATCACTGCCTGCATCTTAGCCGACAAGCGGGGTCGGTAATATCCTAGCAATACTTTTTAGTAGTTTTTTTGCTTGCAATTAAATACAAATTATTGCTGTGACCAGGAAATAGAGAAAAATTCCTGATATTAGACCTACTTTTGCCATCATAAATAAACTTTTTAAATTTTGATACATTGTTCCATTTCCCGTGCAAAGTTTGTAATTTTTTTCTCCTCCCTACAATACATCTGTGTTCAAAGACTTGGTAAAAATTTGGCTAAGACTGGCCAACAAAATGTTGACTTTCACTGGAAAGCTAAGTTCATAACTAACAAAATGCGTTATCTCATCACAGGCAGTGATTGTGAAATCTCATAAAATACTCCTTTGTGCAAATGCCATAATAAAAATGATTCGAACAAAACAAACTCTTGTAAACAACCAAGCTATTTAGTCCCAAAATAACTCCAGACGAAAGCGCTCATTGAGGGCAATGACTGCACATATAGATTGAGGGCACACAGCATAATGCAAGTAACTGTGCAAGCATTAAATTTGATGTTGTCATGAGATCATACCAAGGACCAACAAAGGCATGAATATTCATTCCTATACCTCAGTGCACAAAGTTTTAAGGATGCAGATTACCATCGACAAATTGCGGCGGCAATCATAGGGTACCAAGGGGGTTCGTGGTTGTAAAACAGAGGGTGCATAGCAAGCGTTCATTGCGCTCTGGCTATGGACATACCAGGCATGCCAGAAAGCGGTAATTGGCCAGATGTTACAGCCCGGGCAGTTCTAACTCCTGTGTCCTTCCCCTATGATTCAACACATTTAATTCATTGGAAAGATATATAAGAGAAGCGGTAACACAACTTTGCTGTATATCAGACACAAGCATGTTGTCCAAGTTCACATGTAATTATCAATATTGAAGATTATGAACAATTCTCATTTGTAAAACATGTTTGGGTGGGAAATATGGGACTATCGCATTATTTTCCTTAATGTGTCCAATAAATATTGATGCATCCATCCTACAATAAAAAGTAAAGAACCTGTAGCAATGTGTGCTTTATTATTTACAAACCGAAGTCGGGCAAAAATTTAAAAAAATTAACTACACTTATTGTCCACTGGTTGGTTTTGTCACCAAGATTTATGATTAGTCGCTTCCATGTATTATGCTATGGAAAAAAATCTCTACAAAATGCCAGAATGTCTGCATGTAAAATGAAATTATTCTTAAAATTCACTTGAGTTGGGAGCAAGTAAAAGTAATGAAGCCCATATGAGATCTGCTCTTTGCAAAGTCAACAAGCCTTTGATACAAATCGGTGCCATTCCATGACAACTCACGGAGTATTACTTGACAGACTTCGATATGGGTAAAAAAAAATCTCGGGCCATCAACTCACTTCTCTTTATGAAATTATGCCCATCAACCCCCCGCCCCCAATATAGCCATGCCTCCTTTTTTTTTCGTATTCTCGGTTGGACCTGTGAAGTTTTTTACAGTCCCTACATGTACCCCAAAGAGATTTGGGTGAATTTACACAAAATGACCCATCAAGCAAAGGACATAATTGTGCTCTACCGTGTGTCTTTCTGGAGGAAGTCGCAGATAAAGAATCACATCAAATGTATGAAAACATTCAGAACGTTTTTCTTGCAAGACACAACTACATGTAATGCACGTACATCCCCCATCATGAGCAACTAAAACTTAACTTTCCAGTCCAACATTCCGATGGCAGTGCAGTTGGTCACAATACAATACCATTCTAGTTTTTAATCAAAGCCAAGCATCCTGACAGAGAAATGCGCACCCTGCCAGGACAGTGTTGTAAGTTACAATGATCCTGGCATCATTGCTTTAATACAATTTGCCACAGTATTCATCCGCAATAAAACAGTTNGCATGCAAGTCGCGCTCTACTCCAACAACCTACAGGCTCTCCCCCAATTTGACAGTGGGAAGACATCCAATTTCCTGGGGCAAAATACTAGTCCGCTCATCTCAAGGCCTTTGCTCATTGTTTGGAATACAAAGAACATGAAAGTCATTCTCTGCAGCACACATGGCATCCTACATGCAGTACGCTCACAACCACATCCCTGGAAATCTGAAGGCAGGGAGATAAAATAATGTGACCAACATTCTTCGTGTAGCAACGCTGCCATCAAATCGTGGTTTGCATTTTCAAGATAGGCACAAGTGCACTAAGCGAGAGCTTCAATGTGGAAGAACTAGGCGAGCGTGTATGTAAGGACTGCGCAGTGACTGAATGATGCTCTCTTAATTGGCCGTGTGCACTTCAAGTGGTGTTTGCTGTTTTTAACTATTTAACAATGCACTCCTAAATGGACTACACCATGTCAGCCTCGTTCTGGAAAGTGGGTACGCCAGCTGAAGTAGTCTGCCATTAACAACCAGACTTTTGTATGTGTGCACATGCATTCATATCATACTCATGCTTGCTGTGCATTTTGGTGTTTGCGTGGATGGAAACTTTCTCATCAAGGGAAGTTTGGAAACGTGCAAGTGAATTTTCAAAGGTTTTGAATGCTACCAGATGTAGATTTGCTTTAGTTTTTGGTCTTACTGAAATGAAAAAAAGAAGAAAACTCAGAAAAATCTGTGAGACACCACTAACTCTCGGACGAGTAGGTCTGGACTTTCTGAGTAACTTGTTGAGTGATTCATTTTCCCTCAGCTTTGCCTCAGGAAAATCTAATGCTAGAAGGATCACCTTGGCAAACTTTTCCAACCACATGACTTGCAGTAGTCAACATCAGTCAACAATGTTGTTACTTCTTGCATGAGGCAACCCGACTGAAACTTTTATATTTAACTCTAAAAAATGGATAAGTCAACATTGACAAAAGACGTCTGATTCCATGAACATGAGCAATTATGAAAACAAAACAGAGGGCCAAAAGACCATTGATAAACATGACTTCGGGGCCATTTCTGCCAGAGTTGGTTCCACTGAATTCACATGCAAGTTACAATGGTTATTTCAGGAAAACGTATGCATATTTACAAGACATCTGGCAAAATGGCAGCAGCAGTGAAGTTCACTGTACGAAGCGCAGAGTCAGCAGTCACAAAATCCACAGCTGCAGGTTTATGGCCATCAGGAACACTTCATAGATCATGTCTACTTCTGCAAGAGAAACGGGACAGATATTTAGACAGTGTAACGACAAGCATTACCTCCGATTATTTTAATATCAATGATTAAAGACGAAGAACAGACATCTTGACTGGCCTATGGTTGTTTAATTCCATTAGCAGAATCCTCTGTAGAACAGTAATAACAGACGCCCATTGATGAGTGGGCAATTTCTTTTCCCATGCCTAAAACTGCTACGGGTCCCAAGACAGACGTACCTAGCATTAATTTGGGTCAAGACGAAGGTCCAGGCTCTTTGCTCTCTCCAGACTTTTGCCGCTTCAGAATGGCCGCTAGAAGTCTAGAAAGAACAGAGAGCTTCAACTACAAGTCTGGAAAGAACAGAGAGCTTACAAAGGATATTTGAGGCAAAACACAAATGTACAAGACTGCACAAGCCAGAGGATGACCTGCTTAATCTCTGTCTCGCTTCTACACTGGTCGGGCAAAGTAATTAAGAGAGAAGCGACTTTCTGTAACTGCAGGAGAACTACTATACAACTTCACATTAACCCCTAACCGGCACTGTAGTAGAGTCCATCTCAAGTCCAGTTTCAAGGATATAGGAAGTCACTTCACTCCTTCAGTCTAAAAGTAACACAGGATGAATGCGATGAAGGAAAGCCTTTCTGGCAATTCAGTCTGAGAAGTGTGACTGAGTTGACCCTGTCAAGACTTCTGAGGATATGCATTGGACTCAGCTGAGGCCCGGGTCTTTGACGTTTTCCAAAAATCTGAACTTGGAAACTGTGTTGATATCAAGGGCACAAAGATTTCTAGAGTTCTGATTCCCCATAAAACTGGACAGATATCTGAAATACCAGAACAAGGGGGCCCCGAACCATACCTTCCAAGAATCTTGCCTTATGCCTGGTTCCGATATACACAAACCTTCAACGCTAGGCATATTATCAAAATCCATTTTGTTTGGCTTTTGGGGGGACAAAGAAAAAAAAGCAACAGACACACGGCATTACTCCACAGATACTCCTTGGAAGGGGGATCCAGAAATGCACGAAGGGGAATATACAAGAATTTCACATTTACGAACAAAGACACTGTACGGTCTATTCATTCCCAGCCATCTGTCAGCAATCAACCAATGCCTCAAGGTACCTCTGCATTAAGCATTTAAGTCAGCAGTCATTTTAAAAAAAATACTGCAAGTAATTATCTCAGGACATTTGCTGTAATAAGAGTAAAAGTTCACAGAAGTTATTGAACCTGATCAGAATCACTTGCTCAGATGATCAATTCATTTCTTTAAAATATCTTCAAAGACTGCCAATAAAGATAAGCCACCACTTTCAGATTCCTTGAAAACTTCACTAGGGTACCTCACAAATGTCTAAGGTGTCTCGAGAAAAAAAAGCAAAGCCTCTATTTCTGAAAGTATGAATCTATTTCCTCCCCTTTTTCTGGCAATACTGGATCCGCCCTCCACCTCGTTAATCAGAGGAGATTAAACTGACATTCAGTACCACCTTCCGGGCCACTGTTGCTCTTTGCTGGTCAGCGGCACATAGACCACACCCATCAGGTTCTTCTTTGTCACGCGGCCCTCCAGGTCTTTGTCATACTGTTCTAGCATCTGATTGGCTCCCTGGGGACCCACTGGGATGATCAGTCGGCCACCTGGCTTCAGCTGTTCTATGAGCTGCCGAGAGAGTTAAAAAAGCAATTGTTACACATTTATTGGTTAGTATCATTTTGACATCACCATGTTTAAAGTCTGTAAGTTTTCAAGGTTACAATGCTGGTATTTAGGTAACCCAATAAAACCTGGGGCTTAAACATATATTCACTTGTGTTCAATTCAATTGTTTTAATTTGTGACTTAAAGACTGATATCAGATTGTTTTTCACAAACTCTGTTCAAAGTGTTTGTAAATGACTTGGTTGGAAGCTCGTTACAAATAATGAAATCAAAAGGAGCCCTGATTTTGGAACTTACAGCTGGAGGTAATACAGGGGCAGCTGCTCCAACATGGATCGCATCGTAAGGTGCACCCTCCACATAGCCTTTTCTCCCGTCACCAGCTACAAGTTCAATTTCAAAATACGGGATTATTCCATTCTAAATTTTGCCAGCACTCCTCATCTTTTATACAAAAATCCAGCAGGCCTTGCAAGCTCCAGTACAGTTAGCAGGCACAATAGAAAACTTCTCTTAGACATGTTTTGCTTTTCTAAATCCTATGCAGTCTTTTGTGTTGTAAAATCTAACTCAGGCAGCTGGATGGTCTAGCATGCTCCAAGTGCACTCCTCACATGCTCTATTTGGTCCTTAGTGAGCACCTACCGGTACATGTAAATGTGACCTTCCAAGGTCCATTCAGCTGAAGAGTTTTGAGAGGTGAGGATGGCTCTGTTGAAAGCTGAGCTTAGTGTGAGTGGGCCACAGGTTGCATTTATACGTGCTACACATTTCAGGTGGGAACTCGGTACATTTAGAAACTGCAATAATTTGTACGCGTCCTTAATTAAACAGCGCATCAGACAGTTCTAAAATTGTATCCTCGATGATTACAACAATCATCTAATAAAAGGTTAATGCAGTGAATTTATGGACACTCTTACAGTGCGTCTTTATGCTCTGCAAGGTATGAACAATGTTGGACATCCTGCTGGGGTTATCAGCGCATTCTTCTAATGTTTCAAATTGTTAAAGCTTTACTGGACAACCAAGGGTGCCCCTACTGTGATGTCAATCAGGGAAGACACTGCTCAGTTTTCTGTTCATGTTGGGAACCTAAAATTTGCTCACTGAAACCATTTCTGAGAAAAATTTCTTACGTCAGCTTATACTGCCATGTACTTACTCAGCAATACATCACCAAAGGATAGGAAATTTAGGGCAGCAAAATAACAAAGCTTATGGCAGTTTTGCGTGCACAAATCGATGCTACACTGAGAGGTTTTCTCTTTGGGACAGCATCACAGTTTTGCTCATGAATATGACAAGTTGCATCAGCAAAAAAACCAAAAGAGGTACTAAAATAAGGTCATTTAAACTGGCAAAACAAATATTGAAAATGAGATTAAATTTTGAAACACAGGGGTGCATTTTCACAAGTTGTAGTAAAATACTGCATTGCACAGACAATTAAAAGCTGATTTTATTGCCTTTTTCAAAATAAGTCTGGCCTTTTCTTTGTCTTATGATCCAGAGTTGAGGTCACGCAGCTGAATGTAAAATTGAATAATACTATTCCTGACTCCAGCCTCATATGTTAGACCATTTGCTTTTTTCTGTGACTGACAACTGAGTTGAATCAAGCTGGAGGACCTCAACTCAGGGACCAAATTCATGGGACTGAAACCTGAAACCCTTGAGGTTTGGAATCCCCCATGTCCCCCGTCCTCAGTGCTTGGGAGTCTCCGTAGAGGAGGATACTTGTGAACTCACTGACTAGCTTGACTCTGCCTGATTCCAGCAAGTACCCATGATCCTTCTGCACATTGCTTATCGACCAATCCACTAACTCCTTAATGTGGTCAATGCCCACAACATGTCCAGTCTCACCAACCTGCAACAGGGAGAGATGTTTTACAGTCAAATACGTTGGAATCAAAACTTTTATCTAAAAACTTCTTCAATACTGCATCGGGGCTTAATGTCCTAACATAAAAACCACCAAAAAAATGTGACTGGGCCACAACAGTTATTAGATTTTTGGTGAATCAGTCCTTTAGTCCCTCAACTGCCAAAACTTACCCCTCACCCAACTACTTGATGTTCCCAACTGCTATTCCACACAGTGTAGCATGAGTTTATGCACTGGAGTATATAGCCCAAAACTAGCCACAAAACAGCACAATAATTCATGATTACACTAGTCACAAAACAGCATGCGATCAATATTTGGCCAAGCAATGTTTTTCAAAAAAAAAAATTCACCGGTTTCAAAATATTAAATAAGACATGTAATGCCATACAGCGAATAGAAACACTGGCAATAAAAACAGACACACTGGCAGGATACAGGGGGCCAACGGACCATGTCTCCCCCGGAATTGTTTGGGGTTTTTTGGACAAATTGTGAAATGTGATTCTTTTTTAAACATTTCACTTTCCTTCTGTCCAAATGTGAGTAAAAAGCACCTTAATTTAGCCACACCCATCAGAACGCCATAAAAGGTCACATATAGAAATTTCCAATCCCCCCCAAAAAATTTTGGCCCCTTCTTAAAATCTGCTTTTGGATCTTGCCCTGAACAGAAATAAAAGTGCATACAAGTATCATACTCTATAGATTCTGCTTCATTCCAAGATTCCTTGCAAACTTTTCAGTAAATAAAGGCACTGCTGAAAATGTGCACATTTGCTATCCGGCTGGAAGAGGATCCTTGTAAAAAAAAGCCCAGAGGTATCCCACGAAAAAAGGAACTAGACTCACCATGATCCCCATACATGCCGTGAGGTATCCACTACCTGAGCCCACATCTAAAGCAGACTTTCCTTCCGAGAGATGGTCCTTCAAGAGCTCGAGAGCATGGGCATGCTGGTTGGAAAAGGAGACGAAAACCAAGATGGGCAACTTCAAATACTTCACAATCAGTGACAATAGAATATGAAGAGACCAGATGGCTAAGGAGAGACTGTGGACTGAGGAGAAGGTCACGAAACGTGCAACTGGGGGGTTGTACCAATGGTGCAAATTTTTAGGGCTTAACAGTCAGAATCGTGCACAAGTGTTTTTTTCCACTCTTTGCAAAGGTCAAAAGTTAGGCTCAGAGCCTTTTTCCCGACCTGAGAAAATCTCTATTTACAAATTTCCGAAGTTATGATTATTGTAGGTAACTCCTTCTCATTGAACTTCTGCAGTCAAACTAAAGGGCTGCACAGGACGAAAAAAGGCCACACTCACCATGTGAGGTGCACTTATAGTAACAGCATAACCTGCAGAGAAAAGAAAAGCTAACTCAAACACTGCTATTTTCCCCAGATTTCTTGCACAAAACTAATATCTGAATAAGCAAATGTTTCTACACAAGAATGTGAATATATGTGGAATATACATCAAATCAAACTGAACTGTAAAATGTCCTTTTCGAGCATGATCAGTGGCCATTTTGGTCCCAGCGTTTTGCACTTCATGTAACTGGCACAGATTCTAGGTAAGTAAGAGTTTCTGTCATTGTTACTCAAGCAATCAAGAGGCTTACTTTATGTTCACACTCACCTATTCCTTGGGGTGAGTCTGCATAAGGATCAGTCTTGCTCTTGCTGTAACTTTTCCTGTCCACCTGTTTCATGGCATTGTGGACACTCTCAGATTTGATTATGCCATGTTCTGTGGCGAGAGAAAAAATCAGTTCAGTTCCAAATTTCTGGCAAAGATACAGCAAAGTAAAAAGGAAAAGATGAAAGCAAAAGAAGGACCCAATCCAAGTTAGAAAATCGTAAGAGGTCTTAGTAGATATTTCAGGGTAATAAATCTATCCTTAAGTTAATAGCAGTGTACTGGGGGCAGTCTAGTCTTGGGAAGTATCGCTTTTGCGGATCTGTTTTGGTCTTCATAGTTTCAGGCTTTGGTTTCATCTTAGTCTCATAATTTTCCCGGTCTCAAAACCATGACCAGACTTCTTCTTGACCTCAAGTACCAGTTTTGGTACGAGGTCTTGGTCCATTGGGCTTAGACCAGTCCAAACAAAGAGGCAGGTTTTAGCCCAATAACTTGGGCCCAAATACTGATCTCCCTCAATATCCTAGGCATTTTTCTACAGCAGACGATGGAGTCCAGTGCTCAAAGACAAGATTAAAACTGTCTCAACAATGTACAGAAGTACATCACCATATCTGACATTAAATAAAAACAAGGACACCTCCCCTGCAAACCTGCATCTAATGCTGCAACAACGCATGTATATGCTGACTGCGAACTGACAAACTAAAAATAAACACAATGACAGCACTGCAAACATGTGCAAGTATGTGGTTGGTGTGTGTCACTCCAGTAAAATGCAGTAAAATGTGACTTAGAAATCTGGGCAATTAAATAGGAATTGAACAGAACGGATGTTGAGAGGTCACAGGTGTCATTTTTTTATAGGCCTAATAAAATGTTTCTGCAAGAATCAAAGAGATTATGTGCTCTAGCTCTACTAAGTGGAGCGTTAATATTCCTCTTTTTCGAATTTTGTACTGGATCTGTCATACTAATGCTCCACAACATTACATAGAGTAAAGTGACAACAGGTCCCAAAAATTCCAAACACTGACCCACAATACCTTTATCGCCACCTACTGGCTTCCTTAAATGCCAAAGTCAAACCGTTGGGGCTTCAATGATATTTTGGACTTCAAACAGGGGTGTGAGTGGCCACTTAAACTTAAAGCTGAAAACAGCTAGCAAAAAGCTGACATGTAAAAAGTACACAACAGGTGCACAAAAGAAGCTGAAATTGAGGGTCAACGTCTAAACAAAAAAAGCTGAAATCAACTAAAAAGGTGAATTCAAAATCCAACCATTTTCACTAGACACAGACACCACACTTAAACGTTTTGATGCCTCCTCCCATTCAAATATGAGTGCTTAGATTTTGCTGGCGCACAAAGTCTATGGAAGAACATGGTTCCTCCAGGATGCTATTCCAACCATTATGTATTAATTCTCCATATGGACAATGCATTCGACATTAATTTAGTGAATGTTAAAGAGTTTTCTATAATAACTACATGTCATTTGTGGAACTCATCTCACGACCATTTTTTAAAGAGGCTTGTTACACACTGGAGCACGGACAGCAAAGTGGAGATGGGACGAAGTGGGGATGGGGCGAAGTGGTTAGGGGGGACGTGGAAATGGGGCAAAGTGACTGTAAAGCACTATAAGGGATGTTGGATAACTCGACCGTTTGCCAACTCAACTTCAGATAACTCAACCGTTGAGACAACTCGACCGTTGAGACACCTTGACCATTTGCCAAGTCGTCCGTTAGGACAACTCGACTTTGACAGAGAGACAACTCGATCAGTGAGATCTCTACACATTTCGCAGTCACTTTCCCGGTTCCAGATCACATAAATTATTCAGTTAGACAGCAGCTTCAACAAATCCCCAAATTCCACTGAAATGTGGCCACCATCCACCTTGTGTGCTAGAGATGCCTACCAAATGAATTTCAAACTTTTACTATTTAAATATTTCTTAATTTAGAGAAAATTAGTCCATAAATAAGAATTTAATGAATTTTTTTTTATAAAAGTGGATCTTGCTTAAATTTCGACTCAACTTTTTCAGCTGCACAGCGCGAGTCATCAACGATACTACCTCGTGCCGCACAGTTGACGAACCCATTAGGTTACGTACATTTCTGCAACGTCCGTATAGTAAGATGAGTTTGCAAAGTATATTGCGTGCATGCACTTAATGTGTGATCAAAAACTCGGAAACAACATGCGTTCAGTTTTCGGCCAGTTTTAATAAAATGCAACTTTGAAAGTCAGTTTGATTAAAGAGACACTAGATTCAAAAGTTTATGCAAAAGAATTTGGGATCAATCTTAATGAGTGACATATTGCCCAGTAACTATTCATAATATTTTTTCCGCTACCGTGCTTATAAAGAACTAGGTATATGTGACTGGGTCAGCGCGGTTTCAAGATAGATTGATTGCACAAAGATTGACTTACTACAGCCACCAATTTTCTAATACCTCATAAATTAGGCTTGTTTATCTATGACGTGCAATTCCATCCCATTATTAAGGCACAGAATTTCACACAGTGGCCCTAGCAGACGACTGGGCTAAGTGAACAGTGTCCCAAAGGATGACTTGTCTCTCCCTTTTTCACATGGACAGTCGAGTTGTCTCAACGGTTGAGTTGTCTCAATGGACAAGTTGTCCGAAGTCGAGTTGGCAAACAGTCGAGTTGTCTGGATCCCACTATAAGTATGACCAATCCAGTACAAAATTCGAAAAAGAGGAACAGGCCTACCGCTCCACTCTGACTAGAGCTAGTGCTAGCTCTACTTAGTTGTTTGCCCATAGAGTTATTGGACCAGAAAATCTACACACCCGTACTTGAATGGGAAGCGGCAGCGAAAAGTTTAATTGTGTGCGTGTGTCAAGCGAAAACAGTCAGATTTTGATGGATTTTGACATGTTTGAAATCAGAAATATCATTGAAGTCCAAACCGTTTGACGTTGGCATTTACCAAAGCCAGTAGCTGGTGATAAAGGTATTTTTGGTGAGTCTTTGGAATTTTTGAGAACCCTTTTCACCTTACTCTACTTACAGGCGAGGAGCGTTAGTATGACAATCCCGTCCAAAATCATAAAAAGAGGAATACTATATGCTCCACTCAGTAGAGCTAAGCTAGTGCTCACTTGATATGCTTGGAATCAAGGTACATTTATGCATGAAGCTAAAACCACAGCACTGTGCGACGTGGTGGCAAAGTACCCCTAGACATATAGAACTATGACAAGACGAACCCCGTAGTCAAGTTCTAGCAATAGGGGACAGAGGCGAAGGGGGTGTGACGGTCGCACACGGTGAGAAGTCGGATTGGGAATGCATGTCATTCATGGGATTTGCTTAACGGTACCCCCAAATCTCACACACATAGAATAATCATCGATTCAAGTATTATTCCCTTCTTTAAAAATGGAAACAAGAGCCAACTGGAACTGTTGGAATGTTCCACATTCCAGGATGACACACTTGAACAGAATAAACTCACGTTTGAGCTTGTAAACAAGCTCGTCGTGTGTCGAACCGCTGGATCGCCACGCCATTGCTGACCGTGAAAATGGCGCCCCCATCGAATATAACACAGTAAAGGTCACCGCGGCCAAATAGAATCGTCCATGTGCGGGGGTGGTAACTTTGTTCAACATCCTATTTGGTGCGGAAAAATCCTTACAAATAGTCAGTTAGGTTAAAATACACTCGTAAACATTATTAACACAATTTAAAAGTTAAAATATACAATTAAAGCTAGATGGTGGCAAACATTTGAAGTCTATTTCAAAAAGTATTACAGTTCTCCCCTATCTGAAAAATAGTATAGCTTGGGTCGCGCGGAAATCTAGGTAGGAAGGTGTGGAAGAGAGTCAGAAATACCAGTTACGAGCTGTAACTTGTCGAGTTTTACCGGAATCTCGAATATTAAATGATGCTAAATATACCTACTTCAGCAGTAATTTCGTCCATATTAAGAAATCGAGATAATACCACAAAAGTTTACCTGGGGTTTATAAAACATCAAACTATTCTTTCGTCCGTGGTAAGTTGGCGTCTAATTTGCAAGGCTTGCCCTGGCTCTTCTAAAACTGACAGGGGTGTTTACTTCAATTGGGAAAATGCTTTGGTTTCGTGTAACTACATGCTCTTCGAAAAATTATCAATTTTTCTATTAAAACATATTATTACATAGACGTTTAATGCTGTTACAACAAACTTATTGGTATGTGTTAAAATATTGTAGGGTAAACAAATGGAAAACTCGTACCAACCCCCTCCAACATGTGGTAGCACGAGGCAGACGATACAACATAACTCTGGACTTTAACCTGTCCAAAAATAGACACCCTAGCCTGGCGCGTGCCCGCGGCCGCCCCTGCGCCTCCAAATCAGTATGGTGGCGCTGTGCACGACTCTTGCAAAACAGCGGGCCTAGTGCTCCTGTCGTCGATGTACAATGTACGTCCAAGCTAGGCAAGCTGCCTACCACTGTACCACCAGTTTGCGACATTGGATACGGGATAGGACCAGCCTCACGTTTATGAAATATCTGCAGAACGCATCACAAAACAGTGGAAGCTCAGAAGTCATGGCTAAGCAGTTCTCATCTGCTCTGTCTTCAGCGGCCAGTGCTTCACCGGAATCTTCATGGAAAGCAAAGGTATGTAGGCTTAAACATTAATTATGCCAAGACTAGAGGCTAGGTACATCTCATGCTCACTGCCTCTCAGGCTGTTGAGTATTGCCTTGTTTTGGAGAAATCATACTGCCGACATGATGGAGAAACAGATCCCGCTTCACGGGTCTTTTCATTCATTGATTAGTAATGGTTTCGTTTATGTATGCATGCATGTTACATTGGTAAGCGTAACCGTGCCTATTTTGAATTTATGAAATAATCTAAAATTTAAGCATCCAATTAAATTATTCAGCCATGGCCATCATGGCCGTAGCACTCAGGATGTACAATTAATTAGCCCAGGTTGGATGTTGTCTTCTTTTACACTACGACATTGCGATGTAGACGACGTCCACTGGTCTAATGTACAATGTACTGTGGACTTGTAGTGTATCAAGCCCATTCTCAGATTTTCCAAAATGCAAGTAGGAAATGCTAGTTTATTACCCATGATATTTAGGTGCTGATCAAAAAAAAAAAAAAAAATCATTTAGGCCTACCCATTGGCCATTCGATTAGCATAACATTTTTTTTTAGCTTCCCAACCCAAGGCTGACTCTGAATATGACATGTACAAAAGTTAAGGATAGTGCTATGATCTATCACTAATTTTGAATGTTTGCATAGGTTGTATCATTTATTTATTGCACTTTGCAGTCCATAGCATTTGCAGGTAGTGCAGCGCACACATTGACAAATCCTGGTAACAATTATAAATCACATACTGGTATCGTACGCAGAGAATTATTTTTTGTCTTTGTTTCTATTTTCCTGAGGGTCTTCACCTTAGCCTACCTTTTTTCTGTCATTGTGTTCCCTCTTATTTTGTTTTCTAATTATTATTATTATTATTGGTTTATTTCCATCTGGTTTCGTAGCCAACAGGCTAAATTGTATGGTGGATACATATAATATTAGATTAACATTAACCCTAACAGTCCTCAGTCCTTCACCTGTTGGAGGAATGAGGACTTTTAGGGTTAAACAAACACATATTTTAAATGCATTTAAGGAAAAGACAAATCAAAGACAAAGACAAACGGGATAGAAATTTAAATTTTAAAATTTCACACCATCCATTTGCCAAACCCTACACTTCATGAAAATCATAAAAGACAAATATTAGTTACTAGATGCAAGTAAATTGCTCGTTGAGTTGCAATTGGACCTGGTGATCATATTTAAAAGCACACACAATATTTATATGAAAATTATATGGGTTTTTTATGATAAAAAGCCATTGAGCATTCATAGAAAGCTGTTAAAACACTTAAAACTATAACTTGGATAAAATGACTTAGAAACAAAATTCAAAGTCTCATTCAGCACTGGGACTTTTTCATAAGGTGGAGGGACAAGGGCATATACCGCTGTCTTCATTGTTTGGAAAGCGCATCTCTAATAAACCATAATTGAGAGATATTGAGAACATGTAGATTCCCTTATATGTACGTCTCTATTGAAAATTTTCTTTTCAAAGAAGATTGTGTCTTTGTATATGTAACAGTGTCTTTACTGCTGGAGACCCAAGTGTTGTCCCTCAGATGGGCTTCACAATTTTAGACCGTTGGAATTTTCCATTTCGTTGTAATTACCTCCTCTTGCAACGAAGGTTGTGGGTGGAATCAGGCATTAATTGCCAGCAGGTGTCAATTTTCACAATGGCCGTTTAGAGACTGCATGATTTGCCAATCCCTTATTGTGCAGATGGATTTTTGGGGCTATGAAAAGGAAAACGGCCTCAACGAGGTTTCAGAGTTGGCATGCATCAGAGCTATGGAATGCACATTCAGAAATCTACAGTTTATCGTTTGTGCCTGTCACTGTATTGTTGGCTTCTGTCAAAGAAAAACTTCTGAAAAAGGTGCCTTGTGAGTGTGCCATTTGACTTAAGATTGTACATGCTTGTAGATATTTTTTGCTCAGCAGCAAGATCATTTTCCTTAGTGTGGACTTATTTGGAGCCAACAGTTACGAGATGGCAGTTTTTTATTTTGTTGTTTTTTTATGATACTTTTCTCCAGATTGGATCACTTTAGTTACACATGAACAATGGCATGTACCGGTATTCATACATGTAACAAGCAGCTTACATGTACGTCACATGTTGTAAATATGTGGTGGCTGTCACATGGGTCTATAGTATGAAAAAGCCCTCATTTTATCTTTTCCCTTACCTCATTCTAAAACTTCCATTCCAATTCAACTTTCAAGTGCACACTTACATGTAGTTATTTGCAAAAAAGAGCGCATATTTCAAAGTTTTCAATATGTCTTTCTGTGATATTAGACAATGACTGAGACAAGAAGGGCCTACATGTTTCGTTTCTCAATCCTCCATGGCATCCACTGAAAAAGCAGGTCGTAACGTATCAGCAACACACAACGTGAATGCTTCATTTAATTTCAACATGTAAAAAAATTTATAAGCCAGGAAGGCATTTTAAAGAACACAAGTGAATGTTATCATTCATCCATCAACCAAACTGAAAACTACTGTACAGGTACAAATTATGGCAAAACCAAAAGCTTCACGGCTCTGCATGTTTGTTAACGTTGGCCATGTAACTGTGGCTAACACTGCCAATTACATGTAGGCCTAACTGTAGAGATCTCCAATGAGCTTGTCACTCTTCTCAGAGTTTTCCTGGATTTTCCCAAACCCTTAAGGACATGGACTCACTCTTTGGACATGATAGACTACTGTGAGGGGTAATTATCCATTTATTCCGAGAGATTGACCACAGCCAAGCCCATATAACCCTCCTGTGCTGGCATTATGTAACCCTGTGTAACTGTCCCAGGAAAGATAACACTACTAGCACATGTGTACCAGTATATGGACAACCAGCTGCCACTTTGTTTTGATGACTATTTGCCTGATGTGCTTACTGTGCCCTGATATCCACACACAAGATCAGACAGTAGAATGGGAGACAAGCTAGTAATGTGCTATGCCTGTAGTGTATTGTGTTTTGTGATCGTGTTTGTAGGTAAAGTGACACACAAAAGATCAATAATGAGGGATCAGCATGTTTATCTGGGTTCTGAAAGTAATCTCCTTGAATAGTGGAGATCAGGCCCCCCCCCAGACGAGGGAAAGGGGAAAGACCTCCTTTTTGGATTATAGGAAATAAAAACCTTACCAAGATTCAGGAAATTGTTCAATTTCAAAGTGTGGTTTAGAAAACCTTGTTATCACCTGTGCAGGGATTGGTAATAACAGTATTTTTGTAGGGCCGTATTAAACAAATTGAAATCTAGACTAGTATAAAATAATCTGGACTACATGTTGTTCACTGTTATCTGTTTGTTTTTATTTTCACAAACTGACACTTTGATGTTGACAGATACAACCCTGAATATTTACTCTTCAAAGGTACTAAGGGGGGTCAAATTACATGTACATGTACCTCCAAAACTATGCAATTTTCACCATGTGTATATTTTGGTAAAGATGTCAGGTCAGGTAGAAATAAATACAGATCAACATTGTGGAGTCTGAAAAGGATGGGTTGCTTTTACACTGTGTTTTGCACTTTAATGCCAGCAGTAACTCTGTGAATTTCTCCGTTTTTCCTTCCTCCATGGTTGCTCCCTCTGGCTACATGTGTAGAAGAGTATGTACAAGGTTTATCATTTAAAGGACAATTTAAAGTTAACCATCCCTGATGTGGTGCGGCCGTTCCGCCTATGATGATGGTGTGCATTGTACAAGTAGGCCTACAGACCCCCCCCATTTGGGCCAGTCAAGATCTGACAAACCCAAGGATGATTGTGTTCTTAGCATCAGAGTTCTTGAAGAACAGTACCACACTTAGGTTTGGGTAAACATGGACTCCTGATCTGAAAGATACTGAATTCTCCTCCTGTAATCAAAATTAATTGAAGCACAAGATGTCAGGGTCAAAACACATCTACCTATGGATCTTGGTACCAGTAACAACATCATAGTGAAGAGGCTAAAGAATGAAGTAATCCACTGGCAGTCAGTGTAAGGTAGATAGGGAAATTGAGGGCTCTTCTGGTCAGAAATAAGATCAAGAAAACAGTTCATAGACAGAATGACGTATGAAATGAGACAACTATTGAGGGCACCCTCCTGGTCACCGTTCAAGAGACTGTTACGCATTATCCTTTTCATTCTCTTGCTTTAAATCTACTTAACAGCCAATAACCTCTGACATCCTTAGTTAAGATTATCAACTCAAGTCCAATGTAAGCTACAAAGTACGGTACCAATACAAGATAAATGTACATTCATACACAGTGAATAGGGGTCCACTTAACCATCAAGGGTACGCACAGTCCATGCAGTATGAAAGTGAAACTTACAGAATGCACCTTTAATTTGGCAGCAGTGCACCCAGCAGCTTTTCATGCAAATCACCTGCCACCAACCCAGGTCCAC